ATCCCCATCCTCATCCCCATCCTCATCCCCATCCTCATCCCCATCCTCATCCCCATCCTCATCCCCACCCTTATCCCCATCCTCATCCCCATTCTCCTCCTCTTCCCTCTCAGTTCGCTCAGCATTGCCGCCGGCTGGGAGATCCTAGGGTTCGACTCCCGAAGACGGCGAATTTTCGCCAATAGTTATGTAGCTAGGTCGCACTCAGTCGCACTGTACTGGACCATTCTAGCGGCCGGTTGCTCTGATTGGTTTTCTATCGTTTTCCCGATCAAGATCAGGTGAATGATGGGGCAGTATTGTAATAAAGGAACGCACAAATTATATACACAATACTGCAACACGAAGAAAAAGAACAGTTGCAGTATACCAAATCCATGATACTGTAACAAAGGAAATTATTATCATGGATCTGGTATACTGCAATTGTTCTTTTTTTCGTGTACACACGCCGGGGATTTAATTTGTCCCGGCTGCGGCAATGCCTCGATCGAGGACAGACGAGGAAAGGGAAGTCACCCGCAGCAGACGTACAGCAGACGCCAGATCTCACCGTCGGGCGGGAGCGGTTCACCGCCACCTCCCGGTCTAGAAACGTTTGCTTCATTAACGCGACTCTTCATCTCTGCAGTTGACACGTCCGGAAACATCAGTGACACTCCCGAGTCCTTTCCCGCCTTCCCCCGTCGTTTCCGCTTTTCCTCTGCTTCTCTCTTATTCATATGCCTGTGCATCGCGCCTTGCCTTGACGAGCCTTCATTTACTCGCACCTAGTCTCCCCTCTTGTTCGGCCTCGAGCCTGCACCACCCGCTCCACATCCTCCGCTGCCCCGCTGACGATTTTCTTTTTTTATTGATTGATTGATTCCGGGCACGTCAACTGCTAAGGTATTTAGTCCCGTAAGTATAATGCATGTTTCTGTTGTGGGAAGTGGCGGTGATTTTCCCCGTCTGGGTGGTGAGATCCGACGCCGACCTACCGGCGGCTAGTGGGGTTTTCCCCGACCCGGTGTCTCACACCAGTGAGGCACCGACCCAGCCGGGATAAGTTGTAATCTCCCGACCAGTCCCCCGGCATGTGTGGTAACGTAGTGCTTGTAAGTGTGAGTAAGGGGCGAGAATAGGACTAGGAAGAGGAAGGAAAGATAGTGCGCGGTCCGTGGCCGGTTTGTTAGGGTACTACTCCGGCATTCGCCTGGTGTTCGTCGGAGAAACCACGCAAAACTGCCAATCAGAGCAGCCAGCAGCTAGAATTCTCCTTCAGACAGCAACAAAACTTGACCTAACTCTTTTGGAAGTGTCGAAAATCCTGCCACCGTCGGAACCCGAACCTAAGACCTTTCGGAATGGAATATTCACTATCCCACTTATGAAATTATCACAAGCAGTGTCTACCCATATAGCGAAAGTACACCAATCGAGGCGGTGTATGTAAAAAAAACAATTTTTCTTTCCACGTCCATTACTGGTCTGCAATAAATCAATCGTAACAGGCAGTGTGCAGTAAAAGTGCTAGTCTCATTAACATACGGCACATATGGCGCATTCTGAAATATTTGAGGGGGTTATTTCTTTCGCGAAAAAGTGTAAATAAATATCACTCTAGTTTTGGAAATTTGCAGAGGAATTCCCAGAACACTTATGGTATTACTTATGAAAACATTCTATGTGTCGCGTCCTGGCGCACAGACATTACTCTGCTACTCTGATATTTAACGCACTGAATTAAATAATTTTCTTTGTATTGCTGAAAAAATAACGTATCAATGATGCAAGACATGAAATATACATACGTAGTAGTGCGAATTCCAATTAAACTTTATAAATATCAATTTTGTTTAAAATAAACATCCAAATAAGACAGGCACAATTTCAATTCTGGTAGACGCGACCGGCTTAACGGTACGTTTCCTGATAAGGATCGAGCATTATTCGAAAACCGGATTCTGCATTCTGGAGCCTTGAAACCTTGTTTATCGAGGCCAAAGACCTCGTGTGCTCTGTACACCATAATCTATAAAGTGAGATTTTGGGGATCTATTATATTTTTGGGGGTATCTGCATTCCATGATAAGGGAAGGCTGAGTGGTCCCTCGAACATGAAAACACGTTTCGCTTACATATTTTTCCGTTCACGCGATTGAATGAAATTTGATTTCGAGCGCGTCAGACTTCGGGGATCATTACTCTCCTGCAGTGCATGTGTCATCTCGGGAGGTGGCGATATTCCAGCCCCGCTGGAACATACCCATCTTATGTATAAAGGAGAAAATGGAGGGAAGTGGAATTTCCGATGTCAATGCACAGGTACTCTAGTTTTATGTTTTAAGTAATGTAGATTTAGACAAGCAATAACGGCTTTATGTAAAGGCAATATTTCATTTTTATGAGAGGCAGGTGAGCCACAATTGTACGTTTTGGGGACTACGTCCATGTAATGTACAGATGGCCGCCACAAAGATTCTGCTGAGGTCGGTGCTAATAAAAAGAGTAAAATAGTCCAAGACAATAGCGAAAAGCGGTGGCGATTGCGGAAGCAACGGGAGTGGAAACCAGTGAGAAGTCACAGGCTGCGGTCACTACATTCTAGTCAATGCTGCTCTCTCGGAACGCAAAACCAGTACGAGACGCTAGCGTCGTAGTAAAGGTTCTTAGGATTTAGCTTTTGAGAAAATCCAAATACGGAAGCGTTGAGATGAACAAGGCTGTGAGAACGATTTCGATATCTGTGCAGAGACAATGTATCTACGGCATGAGATCAGATCATTGTAAATTGATACATTTCACTGGTGCGGTAATCAAGTAATAGTTTCGAGCGTCAAGTGAAGAATCACGGAAGAGAAGAAGGCAATCGTGCTGGTGAGGACTGAGGAGGTTGTGGAAACGGAGACGATAACAGAGGTAAGCAGTAAAACAAGCAGAATTTATTGTAAAGTAGTTTGCACTTATCTTACAAAGAAAAATACTGGAGATGAAATGAATGAAATGTAAGGAAAATAAAATTGAAGATGGATGGCCGGAAATGAAAAGTGAAAAATACAACAAGAATTCGTTATCAGCCGCTAAAATATGTTGTATGTGAAATCACTCTCGGTATAGAGTATTCTTGACGCCTTCTACTACAGGGGCCCCCGTTCAATCTCCGGCCGATTCCTATGAAATTCAGTGTAAACAACACGAGCTCTCGTCAAATTTCTTCTTTATCCTCCCATTCCGTCTTTCACTCACGCCACTACCTCTTCCTCAAAATTATTAAATCATCTATTCATTCAACCATCCCTCGTGAACTTGAATCATTTGAAGGGTCCTGGGAAACCAATGAATTAACGAGAAATGTCAGCCCCCGAAGTGGAGGTCGAAGATCTGCTCGCGACGCGACGATCCGAAGCTGCGAAGGAGGCTGCAGCGCGGCGGACGGCGCGCAGGCGGGGCCGCGGGATCGGAAGCGTTAGAGACCGAAGGCCGGCGGCGGCGGCGGCGGCCTCGAGGCGGGGCGGAGAAGCGGTGG